CAGTTTTCGAGGAATAGTATAAAAAAGAGAGATAGAAAATTAATGTAGAGCTTAATACATACCAGTGTTGCAGTATATTGTAAGGCCATAAAGAATTGAAGAAAAAAAAAGTTTGGGCTCGATTCCGGTTGACTACCATTTCTTAATTGTTAGTCCGAGGTATTTGGACATCGCATCAACCATAGCTATCCAAAGAAACGAGGTATCTTTTATTAGAAAGTCAGTAATTTCTAATCCTACTGATCAATAAACTATCAACGTTAATTATTACGAAAAAAATCTATAATTAAAATACCATAAAAACAACTCGTACAATTTCCTGAGCATTCCATGTCGCCGACACGCAGTCTGTCGCAAAACCATTAGCAATACCTCAATAGAATTAATTGCAGGAAATATCTAGCTTAGTGAGAGGTTTTAAAGCATTAAGCTATTTTAAGATATGGATAAATAAGAAACTTATAGACAAAACGTCACTGTATCTCTTACTCGCGACTTCGTCCGCGTGAAAATAAAAAATATAGCCTATGTTACTGACTGATAACGTTGCTTTTTAAAGGCGTAATCGGCCCAGTAGTTTTTGAGTTATTTTAATACATACAAAAATACAAATCTTTCTTCTTCATAATATTAGTATAGATATGTGCGTGTAATTAAAACTTTAAGAGCGTGCGCACACCTTTGGCTAAACTATCGCACAATTATCGATTGTCGATTGTGTCATTCAACTGTTTAGTTGCACAACTAAAAAACAAGTAGTGGGCGCACCTCCATATAAGCTCATAGACATCAAAGAAGACTAAACAGTTGTGCGATAGTTTAGTTTCAGGTGTACGGATGCTTTTAATGTACAGTTTAAGGGACAGTTAAAATTTTGTCTTTGCAGTTAGATTGTGTTACTTTAGAGTTATCCCAGTAAAAATTAAAAATCTTTCCATTAATTTCAGCAACATTTGTTAACATTTATATGAATGGGAGAGAGCTAAACGGTCGTTTACAATTCAGTGAAAACTGAACGCAGTGAAAGCGAGCGAGGTCGGTCGTGTACTCAACATTACAGACGGAATAAACCACTGCACTGTAACGTAACACATCTAGAGAACTAATCTTTAATTGTATATGACCTTAAGATACTTTCTAATGGTAACAGATTCGTACAACACTGAAATAAGAATGATTGAACTATATGTAATGAATTAAATTGACATTGACTATCGTAGTAATTTTAACTTTTCTAAGGTTTTTGTTTTTCTTATTTTTTATTTCCGGTGTGTTCCTTGGAGATCCCGGAATCTTCGACTATGTCACTAGAGGATGGCCATGAGATTTTAGTGGGTAAAATCATGACCATGCCTTTAGAGGCCAAGGTATCATGGAAGATTTCATCCCCCGATACAAAAAAAAAGGTTTTTATTCTGTTTTTGTATTGTTTTTACGTTATTTCAGAATTAAGGATTTAAAAAATCTCTCATATGCCACTTTTCTGTTTAAGTTTTCACCAAAAATAAACTTTTAAAGATGAAATGCTTGTCGAAGAAAATGTTTTGTGTTTTATTCCACTTTTTAGTTTGCATACCAGATGAAAAAATTAAAAAACACACATCTTCATAAGGCGTGAGAGAATGATACAAAAGGTTTTCGTTGAATTTATATATTTTAGACAATAGACAAACCTTGAATGTACGGAAATTCATCTGTTAGGTAGCTCTGTGGTACATCTTGATAAGGTCGATTATAATTAGATGCTTAATGACTTCTCGAATTACTCATTTAGCGAGTAACTACCGTCATTTCGTCATAGCATTATCTTGAGAGGAAACTCATTGGAGATAATGATATCGTAAAACGCAGTCTTCGGAACTCTTAACACTGCATATTCTATAAATCACCACCTAAACTTTGTAATAAACGAATACTAAGACTGAAAAATGAAGATAAAAGTACTTATGAAGATTAGTTTAAATACTTGTGTTGGGTAAACTGTACTACTCAACATTAACCTTTATCCAAGGATTATAATGCAGTTTAATTTATTGTCTACTTTATTAAATGAAGCCTGAGAACAAAGACCTTTGCAAATGACTAAAGGTCCCGCTGCTCTTTTATTTGGCCTCGGAAATAGTGAAGGAGGTATATTTGCGAGTTGCCAACTGAAACGGACAGGTAAATCGACAATTAAATGACAATAAATAATATATCGTACGCCTTATTCATAATACAATTTTTATTCCAAACGTAAGCTAGAGTAATAAGTTTGAAAATAATGTTTGAAGTTGGCAAAATTCATGTTCTGGAGAAAATTCTAGAACCCTGTGTTTAACGCGATATATCGAGTGACGTCTCAGGACCGTATTAAACACATCAGAATCTATACGGTCATGTTATTCCAAAGTAATATTGTACTCTACCGTTTTTATACAATTTTCAAAGTAATATATGTAGTAGTAGTAGTAGTAGTAGTAAGACTAGCTTTCGCCCGCGACTCCGTCCGCGTGGAATAAAAAAAGTATGTATTCTTCCAGACTATCCTCTACAACTATGTAAATTTGAGATCTGTTCAGTCGTTTAAGCTACAAACTCTAACAAACATCCATCCATCTGAACTTTCGCATTTATTATATTAGTATGAAGTATGAATTATGATTGTAAAAGTAAAAGTTTATTAGTCTTTTATGTAACAATCCATACCCGATGGATATCGCCTACGTGCAATTTTAAGGCAGATTTTATGGTCGTTACCTAAGAAGTATCATATACGTGGTGCGCTATATTCAGTATGTTGTGGCCACAAAAACCGCGTATCTGAAAATATATGATCATTGTATTTATCTTCAATCTTTCTCTACTTTTGATGTTTAGTCTTCCTGTATATCAATGCTAGCTATACTCATATAATATTAGGAACATACTGAAGCGTTACATTTTTATTAATAGTTACAACAACTTTAGTCTCATTTCCTTCCCACCCTTTTCTCATAAGAATAGGATGATAAGGGAACGTGAATTTGACAGTGGAGGAGACGCATAAGAAGAGGTAATATACTCTTTATGCGACTCCTTCTGTGTCGAATAAGGGTAGGCAACGCATCCTCTATGAGCAGATTCAGGTGGCTGTTCACTCGTTTGCCACCATATAATGTAAAAAAAACGAAGTCTCGGCTTTTAATAAAAGTTTTTGTTGCCTATTAATTAAGTAATAGTTAAAATAACTTTACTGAATTCCAAATGATGTCATTTATTGTCCTATGAGATATAGTAATAAAGTGCATAAACGTGTGACCACATACCATTGTCCAAAAAAGTTTACAAATAACTTTATTGCTAGTTCCCACATTAAAGTGAGGTTAACTATTAACTTTTATACATTGTGTCTCTAACATGCTACAATGCGATTTCAAATATGTTTATTATTCAAACAAAGGCGTATTAAATCAGAAGCCATATTGACGTAACACATCGACTCGAGATTTATAAGAAAAAGATAGAAGAAGTGGACCCTTCCACGTTCAGTATTCAAGCGCCGCGTTACCGTCGTCCTGGATACTCGATAATCGATGTTAACATTATACTAAAAGTTTTAATAATGTTACCAACAAATTTAAAATGTTTTAAAAAGATCTACGCACCGTCCAACCATTTTTGTAGTCCATAACCTTCCCGTTAGGAATAAAATATAAATCAATCTAATCTAGTAGGAGACGAAACCTAGTGAACATTTTAAACTGTTTTAATGATTTTTCTTTACAAAGGATAAGAACATAAAGATGACATAAGAACACAGGTTTTAATGTTAATTGTGGAGCACAAATCGCTTATTTCATGGCCCTACTAGAATGAATCACGACTGCTCAGAGAAAGTGTATCTGGCGACATCCGCAGGGCGGCGCGCACAACGCAGCCGCACCAAATGCAGATGAAATATGCCGAAGTGCACTCAACTTGATCGTATTTGACGAATTTGGTAAGAGGATGTTTTGCAAACGGAAAAAAATATTACGTGTTTTGATTTCTAATATTCCAAAAGAACGTTATTGTTGCAAGTTGCCAAAAATCTGTTGAAAAAGGAACATATCATGTGGTACGTTTACACATAATATATGGCATGGTTTGTTCTAAAGCTCTAAAAGACAATATGTTTTAGTAATTTCCACCTTTTTATATATGCTTGTTTGTTAAGAAATATCTTTTATTTATAACTAAATATTTTATAGTCAAGGCAGTACAGCTCTTGTATGTCTAGTTTTTCTCTTTACTCTCAGGATATGTTTGTCGAAGTTTACTTTGGGTTTGAGTGTGATTTTTTTGATAGACTACATTTTAAATGTAAATTAAAATACAAAACCATTCATTAACCTTGAAATTTGCAAAACGTATCAACTAAAAAAGTAAAATTAGAAATAAAATATCTTAAGCCAAATACGATCAAAGAAGTACAAATACACAGTTGCTATTTAATTTTTACAGGAGCATGGTATTTTTTAAAAATAACGTAGTTTAATTCTCAAATGTTATTACTGGCCGAATATTTGTTTTTTTTTATTATTTGACTGAACGAATTATATAAAAGATTTATCTGTTGCCATTGAATAAATTTGCGTAAAACGAAACACGTAATCCTAGGAATAAACCGCCTTCAAATGATTTGACATCATAGTGATGTCCCTTTACTACAAAATCGATTTATTTAGGAAATATTTAGGATTAATAAAACTGTAAGTTTCAACACCAGTGTATTGTTGTTGTTCCGATTAATCCTATAATATACGCTAATCGGTTACAATACGTTTTGCATGAAAAGAGCAAGTAAAATATTTAACACTTTACAATTTGATCAAATCATAAAAACGTCATACCAGAATTTATATAAAATTTTCGTAAAGCAGTATTTTGTCCTGTAATAAAACTAGTCTATTCAAATTGTAGATTACTACAGAAATCGACAATCCGATACATCGAAACAACAAAACAATTCCTACAACGATGTACATCCCTAGACGACAGTTATGGTTGACATCATTGCTTGGCTTGATTTGATTGTTCAGCTCTGCGCACGGCAGATTTGTCATTCTTAAAGAATTAGATAAAAGTAGAAAATACGTTATTGTGGAACAATTAAGATTTTCTTATTTTAATATATACTGTGTGAAATAGAGTGCGCGTTATCAAGTGTCGTGTCCTCTTGTTAGGCTACGTATGTTCAGTTTAAATCAGTGCTGCAAATAAAAATGAATAATATCGCCAGAACCCCGAAGACATCACCAATAACTGATGATTATGACATCTCAAACACAGTTCTTGGTCTTGGAATTAATGGGAAGGTAAGTTCAATTAAGTGTCTATTATAAAACAACTTTGTCGGTAGTATCACTATAAAAATACTTTTGACATTGTTTACATGAATGACGTAAAGATCAAAATTAGCCTGTACACATTTTTTTATCATATCTCGGTTGACTAGACATCGTAGGTCGACGAGGTGTTTAATTGCTTATGTTTTAATGTCATTTTTGGACGAAAACTGAATATTAATCTTTTAAAAATTTTATTTTGTTAGGTTATGTTTTAGCATCACTAATATTGTGGTATATTAAAATGCAATTTTGAGTACATACATAAATTTTTTAACCAGAAGTAACATTTCATTAATTTATATGAATAGTTATATATATACCCATATGTATTTAAATATTAAAAAAAATGGAATTAAAACTACTTTCATAGATCCTTGTCCTTGGATCTGATGTTTTTACCTCATTTACTATTAGTGTACAAAAAGTTTTTGATACATGGGAATTTTAAAAGCAGTAGACCAAATGTTAAAAAATACTTTAAATAAATACCTGGACTTAGTTTGATGATAAGTGTAGTATTTGTCTCTTTTTATATTACTCTGTTTATTAATATCTATTTGATTTAAAGTTCATAAATTGTAAAAGCACAAAAAAAATTCAAGGAAAACCAAAAGTACTGTCTAGAAAAATTAAAAATAAAGGTTTTACTTATTTTTTAAAATTATTGTTATGAAATAAATACTTCACAGTTACCAGAATTTTCTAAAGTAAAATTTGTAACCTAAATGAATTCTTAACAAACATAACACAAAACATTCGATTTTGTAATATTTTTACAAACCACTGAAATACTGATTTATATTTAAAAGGGTCCTTTGATGTTTCAACAACAGAAAAAATAGTTCTATAAATAAAAAGGGCCTTTCCGGCCGTCGTTAGCATTCCAACTCACTGATCAGTCATTAAAGTTCATTGGCTTACTTAATATTGGTGTGTACTAATGTGCTTATTTTTAGTATTGACATCCCATGCTAGGATTTTTTTTCATATGTAACAACTTTGTATTAGGAGCCAAGTGGCACACAATATGTTAATCTGTAACATGTCTTTTATTCTTATAGTCACTTTTTGGTGTTGTTCTGATAGTTGCTTAGTTAGAATTACATCTGAAGTTATGAATACAGAAGTTAGTTTTTTCATATAATCTATTCTTCTGAACTAATATAATAAAATGAAACACTTCCCTGTTATGAAAGATGTTTGCAATCACAGCTTGTTTTTGAATACTTTGCTTATAGCATTTAAAGGATGAATTGGATAAAATTGTGAGAAAGGGACAAAAGTACAACCCAAAAGCAGGAAAGGAGCAAGTTTTCCATAGTAACTGTATTTGTTAGCCAATGTCAAAGGCAACAGTATTATTTAAGATTGTAATTTCGACATTTGTAAAAGTTTTATGAAATGCAAACAATAACATCATGCGGATGAAGCCTCATGGTAACAACCAATCATTAATAAATACCAACAGAGAATTTAACTACAGTACATCTAACAAAGTAGATAATTTCATAAATTATTTTTTATTTTAACATAAAAGCATGTTCTTGCGCCAGTACATCCTTATGATTGTTTAAGATAACACTGATAAATACTAGAACATTCACAGTTAGTACTGTGTACTCATAAGACCAGTCACATGAACTGAGTCTGCAATTGTTCCAAGCATGAAGTTGACTAATATTTACTGTACTATCATATATATTCATATAATACTTTCTTAATCATTTTTTTTTTCTCTGTGCACAATAGGATGTACAATATCATAGAGTAACTAAACTTTGTTATGTAGATATACTAAAAGATTTACCATAAACTGTGTTTTTATTCTTTTATTGTAACTTTTTAATTGTAACCATCAATTGTCATTTTATTGAGTTGAAATGTTATATTGTTTTAATATTATAAGATGAACATTTGTGCTTTTATCCTGTAAGTAGAAATTTGTTGCCATCAAATTATGTCTTGAATGTTTGTTGGAGATTAAGGTTATACATTTATCACTGTCAAATTATATGGAAATGCGAAGCTTTGTGTACCCACAATGTAATAGATCAATCATATTTGCCCTTTGATAGGGTAGAAATGTGTACATTGGTTTTGAAAAGATTGGTATAAAAATAAACAGCTTTAATTAGCTTTGACATATTTCTGTGTAGGTACATTAAATTAATTGTTGTGTTTATGCTTAATTACAACCGGTTAGTTGACATTATAATATTAATAATCTGCCGGTTTCTCTCCGTTTCACTCCGTCGGCTGTCTGGTCACCCCTGCCGAGGACAGGCTGGTATCATTTATTATTTAATTATGTTTTATTATTATATAAGTATTTTATATTAGTATGTTTATTTTTTTATTTATGTCAAGTCTGCCAGACTGAGACAAAATAACTTTAAAAAGAAAAAAATAATAAAGTCATTTAATCCATTCAGAATTAACATTACTATTATGATATTTACTATCCAGTAAATTTAAAGAATAATATGCTGATTGACACCACCTTAAATAGATTTGAAGGATTATAAAGCCTGCTAATCCTTCAGTTTTAACTAAACAGTTAGGTAATTAAGACTGTACAATTTTCAGTTTTTCTTCACACAATTTAAGTTAAAGTAACAAGTAACAGACAAATAGTAAATTAATTGACGTCAATATATTATGTATTCAACATAAAATTTTTTCTAAGTAACAGATTAACATATAACTATGTAATAAATAATATGGTAATATTTGATAAAATAACCATAAATTATAAAGTCCAATGATGATTCAACGATTTCTGATAACTTCAATTCTTATTGATTACAAATACCAAACGATGTCGAGGTGAAATATTTGGCTCTATGATAAGCTGGGTGGTATAAAAAGAAGTGTTTAGTGAAAAAGTGTTCATTGTACTGCTACCTTTTAAACAAAATCTGGGTCATTTTGTTCCTAGATTTTTAGTAGTAGAATTAAAGCCCTTGATTTCATTATAGTAATAATCTCTTACCTTCACTTCACAAGTACTGAATATGCATTCTCCGAGGTCATTGACCTATTCACACAACAGCTGATTGTATTGAGAAATTCTACTACTCTCAATACTGTTTAGCGTAGGTTACCACTGTAGAGAAACATGCTACATATTTCGTTTTAGTATTGAAAATTTAGAAGAAAATATTCTTGTGTTGTTTTTAATATGTTTTGGTAGTGGAATTTTTTGGCCGAAGAATCTAATGAAAATACCATACGAATTGAATTATCATGGACTTGTTAAGATTAAAAAGCGACTGCTATATTTCATATAGTAAATGTAACTCTAATGTTGAATCGCAAATCGGCCTCGGGGAATATCAGATAACGGTGCCCATCACATCGATTGCTGAGTCCGTACACTTACGTAGTTATTACTCATGGCGTTCCGATAAGCTTTTTATAAGTACCGCTAGCGGATTTAAACTGTAATCCGCTATGGCAACTTTCGAGTACTTTTTTTATTTTTTTTCTTAATGTAAACGACCTTTGTGCCAACTACTCGCTTGGGCTTTTTTATTACCTTATAAATACCGGGATATATCTTGTAAAATAGATTTATCATACATCGAATATTTGACATAATATCAGAAATTTGACGTGATTCTAGTTACTCAATTTACTTTTTCAATAAAAATGAAGCATTTTTTTAAAACCTCGTTATGTTGGGCTGTGCATTATAAATACATAAGTAGTAGGCGTCAATGACCTTATACTACAGCTGATTGTCTCACACCCTGATAACGGCCATCTTTAAATTACCATCTTGTGTACAAAATATCAAGCGCTAAGTTTCCCTCTCAACCACTATACTTTGAGGTGTATTGGAATTTTCAGAGTTACTTGTACCTATTTGTAAACGATTTTATTTAATAAGATCAATTCAAGTGATTTTTGTTCACGTCTTTTTGATCACATTTTAAATCTTTGTAAATTCAAGATGGCGGCCACGAAAAGGTTCTTTGTATTGCTTTTGATATATCATACTTCATACTGATATTATAAATGCGAAAGTTTTGATAGATGGATGTTTTTTAGAGTTTGTAGCCTAAACGGCTGAACGGTTTACGATGAAATTTGGTAAAGATGTAGAGGATAGTTTAAAAGAACACATAGGCCACTCACTTTTGTTTTTTTTTTGTTTACACGCGGACGGAATGCAGACAAATGCTAATTTTTAATCATTTAAGTATAGTTTATTACACTGATTAGTTTGAATCGGAAAAGGTTTAAGGGTTATTATGCAATCGATTACCTAAATATTCTTAAAGATAATGTGGATAGGATAAATGAATAAAATATGACGTAATCAAATGCTAAATAAACAATGCGGAAGTAATGGAATACTCATACTTGACTCAATACTGAATTTAATAATTATCTTAACTCGTGGCGTTTGAATGATAATACGACTGCTCGGTAACTGTTTATCACATGATTAACGCATGCGATATCCGTTTCGAACGCTTTCAAGATACGACCTTTTGAAACTGCATCGTGCCTTGATTATTTTTGTATATTACTGGAATTCCGTAATTTTACAAATGATCCATACTGACATTTGCTTTTTTATCGTTTAAATTAAAAAGTAAAAAAATTAAGTTTAAGTAAAAAATTTAAATCACTAACAAACATCCATCCATCCATCCATAAATCTAAACTTTCGCATTTATTATATTAGTATGATTTGTATGATGTATGATAATGTGCTTATTTTCAAATAATTCAGAATTGTAGCTCACATTTTGTTTGTCGTGTACATACAGACATGAGAAGAAAATTGTTATATGCATTTAACCGTTTTAAATACCGGAAATAATGTTTGTACAGTAACAAGTCAGGGGAATCGCATTGTTTCCGTGGGAAATGTTCATGATTGTTATCAGATATTTGATTATGAATGGATCAGACAATTATAATGACTCACGCTTTGTATGACCCAATGTTTTAAA